ATATTGCAAATCTCCTGCAAGCCGTTTCATAAAAGCAATTGCTTTAAGCCCTTCATCTAACGAATCTTTTTGTGGTTGAGTGCTAACTAGAGCGGAAGCTTGTATTCTTTTGCCTGCACTTTCATGCCATTTATTACGCAACTCAATAAAAAATGCATTGACTGTAGCAGGATTAGCAATTCTAACTCTTATTTCTAAATCAGAAAGCAAATAATTAAATAGATAAGGTATGGCATCAGCATCTTGCATTGCTTGTACTAATAGTTTGATTCGTTTTTCATAACTATCTGGGGTATCTGTTTCAAAGAATTTTTCATTAACAAGAGCAAATATAGCACTTTGGTTAGTCCCTACCATAACTTCTCTATATCTTTCACGCAACCAGGCTAGAAAGAGAGGTTTACTATTAATAAGTGGAGTACCTTCAGCGTAAGGATTATTAGCAGGAACAGGTACAAACCTTCCAGTCATCTTATTTTTCATAATATTGCTTCTTACTTGCGTATTAAACCCAACAATAGCTAATAGACGTGCCATTTCATTTATATTTCTAAGCTTTTAGTAGTACATATCTGGAGGCTCTTGACCATCATAATCAGGTAACTGTGCGAGTGCTGGAAAAATAGTATGAATAACATCTTGAATAGTAGCCATATTTCCTGGAGGATTATTTTGTAAATTCAAAATAATTTGCCTCGAATTAAATTCCTTAGCCTTCCATTTTTCATATTGATCATATACTCGATCCCAATTATATTCTAATAATCCTATATCATTTCTGCTTTGAAGATAATATCTTTTTAAATTCTGAGCCTGTTGAGTACATGCTGTTATTAGAAGAGAAGGTAATCTTGATTTTCTCCAAATAAAGATCCTAGACAATTCCCATTATATCATTAACTAATCTAACTTTTGTTTACAGGTTTGCTATCAGTATAACATATGCATCTTTAATGTCAAACCATTTTGTTAGGATGAGCTATTATGACTAAATAATATAATTATATTATTTAATTATAATTAGTTTAGATTAGCTTATTTAGTAATAAAAATAACTTAAATATAACTAAATAATCTAGATATAACTAAATAATCTAAAGTTAATAACCTAAATGTAATTAAATAATCTAATTAAATAACTTAAATATGATGATTTTTCATATTCTCTTGTTTAGGTGTGAATTTTTTATATGCGTATAATAAAGTTATAAAGTTATAAAACATATTCTAGTATACAATCATTTTTATAATATGCAGAAAACTTTTTTAAAGCCATTTCATTTATGTAAAGCTATGCTTAAAATTGGACCTATGAGTGTAAAAAAAATTCATTCAGATAAGTCTAACCTCTAAGTCCCACCTATAGATGTAAAAAAATTCACCCAGTTAAGTCTCACCTCTAGAGCGAACATAATATTCATAAAGTCTGCAGAATATAGGTCATTAAGGAGCTTCTGGAACAAAATTTCTGAATATGGGAGTGTTTCTAGGAAAATCAGGTTCCGAGAAATTTTTGACTAAAATAAAGAGCTTAATACATTTTAATCTAATAACATCAAAAACTAAAATGCAATAAAAATCTCAATTTTGCTAAAAAATTCCCGGAACCTGATTTTCCTAGCAATCAACCCATATGTATAATATAGTGTATGGCCTCCCAGCCACTTTCCCAATATACAAAATTTTTGAAATCTTTATTGAACTCCAAATTTATCTACAAGATCAGGAAACATATCAAAATTCAATATTAAATTCAAGCTTAAAATCGTTCTGGGCTTAAATCCTGTTAACATATCTTCTTACCCAAATTTTTTGTTTCTAAGATCAAGATATATACCATCTTTGTTAACGCGTTAGCCTGATTTTAATCGCAAATAATATAACGAAAAAAGTATGCTATACTGCTTGCCACTTGAAAAGAACCCTGAACACTGAGGACTGAAGTATCCGAGTGTGCTCGTGGTTCGTCTAAGCAAGCTTAATTAACATACCATTTTTTATGTTATCTTAGATTTAATTCTAGAACTGATTCATAAGTGTAAGTAAAATAGAAAATTTACACCTAAGCTTATCTTGGGTATAAATTTTTTTTGTATTCGAAAACTAAGTTAAAAAAGATATAGACCATGTTCTAGCATATAATTAATTTCTTGATACACAGGAAACCATTCTGGAGCCAATTCATTTACACAAACATTAAAACAAAAAGTTTCACCTCAGGTGTAAAAAAAATTTGGATTAGGTGTAAATTTTTCGGGCTAAGTGTAAATTTTTTCAAACTCTATTATGTCTTCTAAATGATATCTAAAGTCTTATCTCAAAGCCTATTAATATACTGGATTACATAATAACTATTAGCATGCTTTCTACAAAGGACGGGTTCAGAGCTAGTCGACTTGCCATATACACTACAAGGAAAACGCTTTCTAGCTTTCCAATGTTCATGACACCCTTCTGGCCGATGACAGGTCCGCCCACAGATATCTCCAGTTCTGAGTAAATAATTGCAAGAATATTTGCCTATTATAGTAACAAGAAATAAATATTTTATTTTAAATAAAAGATTTCATAATATTAATATAAGCATTAGGATAGCAACACTTTTACAATGAGTATACAAATTCAATTAGCCGAAATAAAGTCCACATATCAGGAAGTCAGGCATTAATAAATGTAGTCAAGGCCGGCATCTATTATAGAAGGCCAAAGAAAGGTAAATTCATGCAATCATATAAAGAAAGGATCAAAAAATTGCGTCAAGCAGAGGATCCTCAAGAATATGTTCTCAAACTAGCCATGAGTATATTCCCTAATGAAGCTAAATATTATAAAATCAAAGATGACTACAAAGAATACTATGGGCAGGATCCAAAGATTCTTAACGCCATCATGAAACTATATAAATTATACTATAAATTAGCTAAGGATTATTTTATTACTGATAAACAAGTTGATGAAGAGACAGAAGACTTCCTATCATCACTTTAAAAAATTTAATTCGTAAGCATCCACTGGGGAGGCAATTCTGTATCAAAGAGAATAACCATCAATTCTTCTTGAACAAAAGATCTTTTAGAACGTTTAAGAATATAATCATCATTATCAATTAGCCCAAAGGGAACTTCTTCCAGTCAGTATAAGACCAGCTGATTTTTTTGCACCATAGATTGACGGATATGATAAATATGTGGGGACTAATTCAAATCACCAACACGGCGTCTCTCACCCTCCAAATCACTAGAATATAATAAATATTGAACAAAAACATCATCAGAAAGCTTCTTTTCATCAAAGCCTATAGGACCATCCTGAGGATAAGAAGGCTTAGCCAAGACCTCTTCTTTCTCTATTGCATCAACAGGAGAAATACCAAGCTGGCATGTGATAAAATTATTAAAATATTTAACAACTATAGGCAAATTCTTTACCTAAACCCAGGATATCTTATTTAAGTATAAAGTCAAAAGATTAGAAGCATCTTGAGAATAAAACAATTTTCTAGTTAAATCACCATTAAATTTTTCAGTAATACCCATAGTATTTTTAGTAAAGGCCTTTTAAATTTTCACACTATATTCTCTCATTAATTTTCACAATCATCTTTAAACTCTGGTCCTCTATCTGTTAAAAATTTTTCCAGCCAAATAAGAGAACACTCAGGATCATTATAGATTTTCTCAAGATCTTGAGCAATAGTCTTTGAAGTTAAGATTCCCTGCCTATCTTTGACACTATATGCACCAATAGGGATAGATACTTTATATCTCGAAGCCACGTCTATCACATTAAGACAAAAAAGATAGGTAACCCAACCTACTTTATCATAAGGCATGTAAAGAACATCTGCTTGGTGAACTTTATTAGAAATGGTAATAGAGCAAAAACTTGCTCGAGGAATAAATCTAGGACAAGGTTTATGTATCTGATGCACAGCCTGTCTATCAAGCCAGTCACGCATCTCATCAAGTGAAAAATCATACCCAACCT